AGGCAGGTAGGAAAGCATATTAAAACGCTCGGACCGAAGGTTTTGATTAGACGAACATTTCTTGATCCTACACCTTCCACAGAAGATATAAATACAGACAAATACATTTAGACCACTTAACTTAATGATTGCTATCGGGATGTGAAGAGACTTTCAACCAGCATAACAAAAAATGTTTCTGAAGACAATCACCTATTGCACCTTTAAAGTTGATGTACATAAAATGACTAAAACCGAAATAAAAATAAATTATAGCTACATAGACATATAACTAATAAATTAATAAAAATGACCAGAATTACTGAAAAGGAAATTAAAATGAAAACTGAAAATATAAAATTAAAAAATTAAAAATATTAATAAATACCACGCTGGTATATATCAAATATTAAATTAAGTGATAAGATAACATTTCACCAACTGATCTCTGATTTTTAGTGAATTTATGATGGCAGTTCACCTCAACTTCAACCATAGGTGTAGTTCATTACATTAAAATGATCCAGTAAGACAATCAGAGCAAGACAAGTTTCCAAATGCTGTTTGTCTTCATCTTAAATATTAGTTTATGTTTTAGCATTCAACACATGCCAAACGTCTTTGACACTTCTTGCTCAGAAAGTGTGCTTGTGCTTACTTTATTTAAAATAAAACCAATTTTATATGGAAATAAAATGTTTGATCACTTTCATTTCTTTTACAGCTTAAATTATTTATAGATACATAACCATGCGTGCTCTATGTGTGTTTGTTGTCTAGGTCTCTAGAATCCGATCACAACAGCACGGCAGAAAATCATCTGTTTCGAACAGAAGAGCTTTTCTCCGCCCTTAGTCATCCAGGTATTAAATGAAAATCTTGGAGCTGATAACAGCGCTGTCTTGTTCCCATAAAAAGTTTATTGTCTGGGATAAAGGCATGTGCTGTTGAAATGTCATTTCTGTTTTTAGGTTGTCATAGCAACAGAAATAATCTGACAGCCAATACTTTAATTGGTGGGTATTTCTTTTCTTGACAGACAAATGTGTATGCAGACAGCAAGCACTTGGAAACAGCAAAATATTCTGCAGTGTAAAATATGTTTATGGTAAGTAGCATGTAAAACTCACTTCACCTCAATGTTCTGTTGAGTTGATGTAATTAATGTGTGTTTTCTTGTGGGATTGCAGCAGTGAAGGTGAGAGTGTTGGCTGCTCATGATAAGGGCTCTCACGCAGAGGTGGATGTTAAGGTTCTTAAGGTGTTGTGGGATAACTCGCACCTCAGGCTCTCTCATGGAAATCGGACTCTTTATCCCGAGTCTTGGACCACACGAGGCTGCACATGCCCTGTACTTTTCCCAGGTTAGCAGACATGCACACATTCATGATTTGTTATGATATGAAATATGCAAGCCCGTATGGAATCTACACATTTTTTCCCCACATTATCTGTGTTAATTGTGGGAAACAATCTGTTTCCCTGCTGAATTCTGTGCAGTGGATTTAAATACGATCAGATGTGTTAAATGGACCTCAGAGAGCCTTGTTTAGATGAAGGTATTATCAAATTAAATGCAATGCAAATGAAGGGTGAATTCTGTGGATATCTGCTGTGTTTTCTGCTGAATTCTGAATTCTTCATGGAAGCATAGTTACTTGTTATAATGATATATCGGAAACATTCTGATAACTTTCTTTTCTTTTCTTTTTCTTTTTTTGCCAGTGTAGACAGACTGGAAGCAAAGTTTACATTTATTTCACTCTTATGCTCATTTATTTAAATAGAAAATGTACTTTGCAAAGATCTAGGAGAGAATCATATATATTGATTTTATATTGCGAATATATGGTTATGTATGTATGTATGTATATGTATGTGTGTGTATATATGTATGTATGTGTGTATGTACTTACAGCTTAAATTATTTATAGATACATAACCATGCGTGCTCTATGTGTGTTTGTTGTCTAGGTCTCTAGAATCCGATCACAACAGCACGGCAGAAAATCATCTGTTTCGAACAGAAGAGCTTTTCTCCGCCCTTAGTCATCCAGGTATTAAATGAAAATCTTGGAGCTGATAACAGCGCTGTCTTGTTCCCATAAAAAGTTTATTGTCTGGGATAAAGGCATGTGCTGTTGAAATGTCATTTCTGTTTTTAGGTTGTCATAGCAACAGAAATAATCTGACAGCCAATACTTTAATTGGTGGGTATTTCTTTCCTTGACAGACAAATGTGTATGCAAACAGCAAGCACTTGGAAACAGCAAAATATTCTGCAGTGTAAAATATGTTTATGGTAAGTAGCATGTAAAACTCACTTCACCTCAATGTTCTGTTGAGTTGATGTAATTAATGTGTGTTTTCTTGTGGGATTGCAGCAGTGAAGGTGAGAGTGTTGGCTGCTCATGATAAGGGCTCTCACGCAGAGGTGGATGTTAAGGTTCTTAAGGTGTTGTGGGATAACTCGCACCTCAGGCTCTCTCATGGAAATCGGACTCTTTATCCCGAGTCTTGGACCACACGAGGCTGCACATGCCCTGTACTTTTCCCAGGTTAGCAGACATGCACACATTCATGATTTGTTATGATATGAAATATGCAAGCCCGTATGGAATCTACACATTTTTTCCCCACATTATCTGTGTTAATTGTGGGAAACAATCTGTTTCCCTGCTGAATTCTGTGCAGTGGATTTAAATACGATCAGATGTGTTAAATGGACCTCAGAGAGCCTTGTTTAGATGAAGGTATTATCAAATTAAATGCAATGCAAATGAAGGGTGAATTCTGTGGATATCTGCTGTGTTTTCTGCTGAATTCTGAATTCTTCATGGAAGCATAGTTACTTGTTATAATGATATATCGGAAACATTCTGATAACTTTCTTTTCTTTTCTTTTTCTTGTTTTGCCAGTGTAGACAGACTGGAAGCAAAGTTTACATTTATTTCACTCTTATGCTCATTTATTTAAATAGAAAATGTACTTTGCAAAGATCTAGGAGAGAATCATATATATTGATTTTATATTGAGAATATATGGTATGTATGTATATGTATGTATATATATATATATACTCTGTGATTTTTAGTTAGGTTGTCCTAATCAGTCTTGTTATTGTTAACTAAAACTAAAAACTATTATAAAAACTTCTCTGATAAATAAAATAAAGCTGAAATAAATGATAAAATATTACATGGAAAAACTTACAAAGGTTAAACCTTGACAACTAAAACTGGAAGAATAATTAATTATCGAGAGAGAGAGAAAGAGATGACAGTTGTGTGTGTGTGTGTTACCTGCATCTGCGCGTCTCTCTACAAACAATGAAGATGTGTTTAGTTACTACAAAAACAGTGATTTTACACCTTGTTGCTGAGGAATATAATGTAGCGATCTAGTATCTAGGCTATTTTATTAATAAAAGTCGCGGGGAAGCGTTGACATGTTTGTGTGTGTTTGTGCGTGAGTGATGTGTGTGGGTTTGTTTGCATCAATTCGAGTAGCGCATTAATATGGAACGGGGATTAAACTGACTTGGAATTACCTGTGCATTAAACGGTTTTACTGCATACCTGCCAGCCAATCAGAATAGAGTATTCAGACAGACCATGGTATAAAACAAAATAAAAAATATTAAAAACTTAATAAAAATGACAAACATAAAATTAATCTAAAACTAGACTAAAATGTAAAAAAAAAAAAAAATGTATGTTTACAAAAATATAAACTAATTCTTAATAAATACTTCAAGAGTCCATAAATAATACTAAACACTGTGGCCTATCTTTGTTGATAATTGTTTAGTGAAATCAGGCTAATTTGATCATTTTCTTTACTGATGAGACTGTTTCTCTCTTGCTGTAGGGTTGGAATATCTTGTAGTTGGACATGAGGATGTGAAAAAAGGGCGTCCTATGGTTAACATAAAGAGTATAGTGAAGCCATGGAGACCCAGCTTGAGCCGAAAAGTTCATCAGCTTCTGAAAACCAAATGTAGCTGAGAGACACAGAGAGACATTGAATATGTATCTTACGTGGCACACGTTAACTTCGCCTTTATTTGATTATGATCATTCTTCATGCTCTGAATCATGCTAATGATTAAAACAGCGGTTCTCAACCTTTTTGACTCTAAGACCCTCCTATCAATTTGATATGCACCTCTGGTACTTCTGTTAATAATAAATGAACTTGAATGAACTTCATATGACAGTTCAGTTTTGTAAATGGGGTTGTGTCTGTGTTTTTAAGTGTTTTATTTTGGATTATGTGAATATAATTACATTGATATCATCTTAAAATTATATCAATGTAATTGATGTAATTGATATAATTTTTGGTTGAGAGCCACTGCTTTAAAAGCAGCTGTGTGGATGTATTTGCTAGCTGTCAGATGAATATTAGGACTACAGAATGTATAATATGTATGTATATGTATATATAAAATAATATATGTAGTTTTTTATGTCATAACTAACCATGTAAATAGCATGCATTTTGTACACATGAAAATACAATGCTCATATGCAATATAACTTTCCTATGGTTATGTCACAGTTTTAAGTTTGTGACCTTAATATGTAAATTTTTACTACCAACCAAGACCACAAGGTGTCAGCCTATGATCATATTAATGATTATGTACAAATATATTCACAAGAACAAGTATTCAGATGTGAAACGTGCTGATTTATTGCTGAAACAAATAAGACTCAGGCTAGCTTAAAAAACAGCACAAAATGTCAAAAATCTAGACTTTTTCCACATTGTTGCTTAAAAACCACAATGAAAACTCATCACTATTTATGTATTTTATTTATTTACCACATTATTTTCATTACATCTTAAAACATTACATATTAAAACAAGATAACCTATAATCTCTCTTAATATAAAATACAAAACTATAAAACTTTTACATTCATAATTCAAAACCAGGGATTGCTCAATATCAGGCAACCCCACGTGATGGGCGGAGCTAACGCTGGTCCATGAGGCCCCGCCCCGCCTGCATCCGCACCTCTTGTCAGACGCGCAGATTGGCGTGCCGCGATGTCGCTTTCCGCAATGAGGACGTTGATGGAATTACAATCAAACTAAAGAGGGAAAAACATGTCCGAAGTAAGAAAATTCACAAAAAGGTTGAGCAAACCTGGAACGGCTGCGGGGCTCAGACAAAGTGTGTCGGAGGCGGTGAGGACGTCCATTGCTGTGGTTAGTAACTCAAGAGCGTCCCTCTCTCGCTTTTGGCAGTGCGTCTGTACGTTAGGCTGCGTCTCAACAAGTAGTGAGCTACCTACCTAGGCGGCGTTTTTTGACATCACAGGGGCGTGCATTCTGTCTAAGTAGTCAGCTCACTAGATTTTGAGACAGTCTTAGTTTATTATCAGACCTCGTATATGTATGTAAGCTGTTAGGTCTTGCTTGTAGTCATTTTTGTTTCTTGCAAACGGCGTTGTAATTATTATTGAAACACGTGCAGACTGCTGAGGCATAACGTCTCGTGCCTTCCAGGCAAATACACCAGCACAGCTTCAACATCTGTCTTCCACATCACATAGACAGCAGTTGAAACCTTCTGCATATAAACACTGACATATGCATTGATTTAAATACAAAATTAGGGATCTGCTCAGCAAAAAAAAGACGGTAGTTAGGCGATCCTGACTGTGTCCTAAGATACTGTTCTGTGGCTCCTACTGGAACCACATGGAGCATCCTTTTGCCTTTGTGTAAGAAGTCATGTGCATGTGCTCATGCACCAGTCCAAGAGCAGAGCCTATCCTTTCTTTCTGCCTTTATTAAACCATTGAGAAATTATCCGAGGAGGAGAACAGAAATGTGTTGTTAATGTTTTAGGGAGGATATAATTTCTCAGCACTACTGGTGGCTCTAATGAATGCTTAGTGCTGAGAAATTATATTTTTAACCAGACATATGTCATGAGCCTGAGATTTTCTATAAGTGTAATGAATATAGGTCTATAATGGCCTATGATTGTCAGTTTGATTGTGGCTCCAGGGAGACAGACAACAAATGGCACACTATGGAGATTGCAGATCCGTTGTGTTTCCCTTGAGAATACCCTTAGGCTGCTCAGCTATGCTTCCTGTGTCCTTTGCATGTGCTGAATAAAGTATTTGTCTCATCTTTCCTCTTTTTCTCTTTTGCACATTGTGCAATTGCAGAAATTTGGCCAAAATGAAGATATGAGTGACCTTTTTTGTTATTATTGGTGCTCATTGTCTTACTTAAAGACCCAGTGGAATTGATTAACGAGAGCTGCGCGCTTACTTTTTTAAAGTTTTGGTGGCATATATTGAAGGCTTCATCCCTTATTTTTGTAAATAGCAGCCTAGTTGGTTTCAAGTGGTACTGGGGGAGGGGCATTCTCATTCAAGAGAGCATTTGATTGGACCAAAATGTGTGTAGTGCAGGATGAGTCATCAAGATTTTTTGTTCTGTTTCGCCAAAAGAATATGACTGTTTATTTTAAATGTCTATATTATCTAAAAGTGTACACTTGCATATTGTACTAGTGACATTTTTTCAAGGCATTTTGTAAGTTTGTTGCCTCGATAGCAAGCCAATAGGGTTTGTCTTTTGCACTTTTGGATAAGTGCAGAAAATAAGCCAAAGTTTATGATTCTAACACATTTTGTTCATCATGATAAACTTCTCAAATGAACACAATTGCTATGAATATTAATGTCTAAATACAGAAGTAACAAGCTAGGCCTACTTCTAACAGGAGGTTTTGGTGGCATGTTTCGAATTTCCCTTATTTTTTCAAATAGCCAATAAGTTTGTAGTCATGTGTCAGCTATGAATATAAATTGTTACTTGGTTTCTTGGTGGTAAAAGTGGGAGGGACATTCTCATTCAAGAGAGAATTTGATTGGACAGAAATCTGCGTAGTGCAGGATGAGTCATCACGGTTTTTTGCTGTTTTTTTTTTCAAAAGAATATGTACATTTTAAATGTGCATATTATCTAAAAGTGAATTTTATTAATGTTTTTGAGTACATAGCATATAGAGTGATGCAAGTATGATGTCTTTTGTTAACACAGAAGTTTGCATTACCCTGGTTCCTGTGACAAAAACTCAGTGGGATATTCCATTGACTGTTGGATAATTGCAGAAAATGAGCTCTGTGACAAACAAAAGTTTATGATTCGTGCACGTTCTGTTCATCATGATAATCTTCACAGATGAACACATCTATTATTAATTTTGAAGCCTATAACAATCGCCATAAAAGTAAAAAGCTAAAGGTAGGCTATAAACTGACTACACCATGTTTGCATGACTTCTTCACCATCACCAGTAAGCTTCAGACAAATCTTTTATATTTAAAAAAAAATCAATTTTATATATTTATTAAAAATGCATTTAAAATGTTAGAACGTGTGAATTAGAATAGTTTTCAAGAGCACAATTATAAACACGAGGCTGCAAAATTGGACCAGTAAGTACATGAATTTTCCCATTCTGTGTGATGATGTTTAAAGGGATAGTTCACCCAAAAATGAAAATTATGTCATTAATTACTCACCCTCATGTCGTTCCAAACACGTAAGACCTTCGTTCATCTTCGGAACACAAATTAAGATATTTTTGATGGAATCTGAGAGCTCTCTGACCCTCCCATAGACACCAAGGATCCTTACACGATCAAGGTCCAGAAACGTAGCAAGGAGATCGGTAAAATAGTCCATGTGACATCAGGGGTTCAACCGTAATTATACGAAGCTATGAGAATGATTTTTGTGCGCAAAGAAAACAATAATAACATAATTTATTCAGCAATTCTTCTTCCCGAGTTACCGTCTTCCGCCATTTTGGAGAGTGCCCCAGAACGTAATCAACATAATGAGCGTTGTTAACGTTCAGCATGAACGCGCATCTCAGATTTCATCAAAAATATCTTAATTTGTGTTCCAAAGATGAATGAAGGTCTTACGGGTTTGGAACGACATGAGGGTGAGTAATTAATGACAGAATTTTCTAGGGCTGTCACGATTCGTCGATTTTATTAGACTATTCAATTTTTTAAAATCCTCGACTTCATTTTGCTCGTGTCAACTAACCGGCAAAATACCGGAAGTGCCGCATTTCACAGACGAGAATCCATAAAACACTTTTTTAGTCTGTTTCCCAAGGCTGCATGATATATTAATTAAGCATAATTGTGAATTCACAAATGCTACGATTTAATTAAATAATTATATGCGATGCAGTTCTAATACAGTATATGCGCTTTAATTATTTACATGCGTGTAGGTTAAGTACATGCGTCACACAGTGGCTCCGTTCACAGTAGTTCCACAGGAACTGTTATCATTTACATGTGTGGAGCGTCTCAAACGCCATCTCTGCATGTTGTTGTGAGTTTGGGTTTATTATAAGGTTCTTCTGGGAACGCAACGAGCGCCATTTCATCAGATTTGTAAGGTAAATCATTTATAAATCTATACGCAAACACAGGAGAATACATCGCGATTTCAAAATAAAAGCTCAAACCCTCACTTGTTTACACGTTTTGATGTCCACATATTCTTTTAATTACAGTGGCTATAGCATTTCTGTCCTAAAGAAATGGCCAAATACTAAAGATTAAGTGGACATTTGAATTAAATGGTGCTTGGTCAACATTAAACAAGTATTAGATCGGGTAGCAATGTGTATTAACCGATTAATCGATAAATTAGTCGATAGATTAATCGAAACAAAAATAGTCATTAGTGGCAGCCCTAGAATTTTCATTTTTGGGTGAACTAACCCTTTAATGTCCCTGACAACCTCTCTAATCATTTAGTCACTGTCTAGCAACCACCTTTTTCAAGACACGTAAAAAATCAGTGGGGTATTATCAATGTATTTTTATTTTGTAGAATAAAACGTGAAAATATGTTGTTGAGCTTGTGTTAACCACAGACCTTACTTTAGGCATTTAACCAAAAGCCCATTCAAATAACCCATTGACTCATTTCTGGTCTTTAGGGCTCATTACTGTGGCACTCTATAGATGGCCATTAAACTCTTTAAAGCGAAAACTGACCCCATTTACTTTATAAATGCATCTTTATTGGAAGGGACCCTTCGGTGCATTTTATTTAAAAGAAAAAAATGTCTTTGTCTTTATAATCTAAACATATTGTCTTTACTTGTTCTTCCTTTTCCATTTTGACATTGTGCTAATGTTGATAATGCTAACTAAAAATAGCTGCTTAGGCACCATTTTAGCAAATAGCAATTCATATTGACTTTAAATATGGGACAGTTGTGGTCGAATTTTATAATGTGCATTACTGAGTCACAATAATTTACGCTGTGTGTTTTTACACGGGACTCACTGGATATAAATATTTCAAGATGCTTTCAAATGGTGGGCCTCAAATGCTCACAGATCTACAGAGCATGTGGTCCTCCACGAGATTTACAAGACAAGATAAGCTGTTCAAAAGCCTTGTAATGACACAAAAAAGAGATCAGATGTGTGTTTGCATAACTTCAGACGGAGACCGTGGTCGTTCGGTTCAGATGTTGGCGTATGTGTTTACACACAGTGGCCTAATGCACATCAGCTGAGGAGCTCTTTCTGTATGCTTCGCCAAAGACTCACATCTGGGAAGTACATTAACCACCCTGGAGACGTGCTCCAGTCGCAGTTTCTGTACAGCTTTAAGTCGCCCACTTTGTCGTCCTTCACATTTTCATGTTGCGTTCTTGCATACGGAAATAACATGACTGAAACGTGTGTGTGGCGCCAACGCCCATCGGCTTGTGAACGGGCAGTAAACTGGCTCATGTTTCCCTTTACCTCAGTCTGTGGTTTGTTGGCCTGTGATTCTTCTTCTTCTACAGTTCCTCTCTGTCCTCAACAGGATTGTTCTTTTTTAAATGATCTGAGGCCTTGTGGTGGTTTTCGCAAGGGTTGGGTTATTTTTGGCTATAGGAAACTGGCCCTACCACGGTATGGTAGCTTAATTTTGGCCCTGAGATTTTAACACCTGGCTTGCAGCGATTAAGGACAGGACTTGGATTGGGGAAGTTGGTGTAATTTGGTTTGAAAGGGCAGTTGAGAGAGAGTACAGCCACAAGCCAGCAGAACTGAGCTGAAACACAAGCTCTGTTGCAGTGGAAGCTGGACTGACTGTGGTTTTCTTGCCTCTATGTGGTATGTCACATGACAGGAAGTTGCTGCTGAAACACTTGCATTGGTTGTCAGCTCATGCGTGTGTGCTTGAGAAACACAGGAAGCATTTATGTGTAGAGATGGTATTGATGTATGACTGTTTTTGTCTGGGTATATTTAGGCCGTTATTTCCCCCTCTTAAAGGGGTCATATGATGCAATTAAATTTTTTCCTTTCTCTTTGGAGTGTTACAAGGCTGAATGGATGTGCAACGCACAACGTACCGTAAAATCTAGTGTGAAGGCGCACGACTCGCCGTCGCTTTGTTTCACACAC